ACACATGAATAATTAAAAAAAAAACATTTTACGGCTAGTGCTGAGGTTCAATAGATAACAATTCTTTAAGTTATGAAATAATTAAGAAAGCAATAACTGTTATAAAACTATTCAATCATAAAAATTTTTGGCGTAGTTTTTACTTTTCATAATATTTCCAGTGATACAATTTAAAATTTATATGAAAGTACATAATTAATGCACTCATTTAAGCATGGTCTTTAAATTAAAAAACAAGACATCAACAATTCACACCTCACTTATTTTAAAAATTCAATCGATGGTTACACATTAAATTAATTGATGGTCCAGCTGGTGGGCCTAAAATATTTTCTTATACAATTTGTAGTTGATAATTTTATTCAAATCTTAAAAAAGTTTTTCCTTAATATGGACGTTCAAATTACTATTCGAGTTATAAAAGAATGAAAATATACCCTTGAAACTAAAAATATGACAATTTCAATTCAAACAAATAATTTTTATTTAACTTATCCTAATTTTTTAAATTATTGTAAAAAATAGAAAGTGAAAATAGAAAATTGTATTTCGTCAGAAAAAGATTTTTTTCAAATACTTAACCATCATTCAAACTTGAATTTAAATAGAGCACAATTTTAATTTGAACAAATAATCTTCATTTAACTTATTCTAATTTTTTAAATTATTGTAAAAAATAGAAAGTGAAAATAGAAAATTAAATTTCGTTAGAAAAAGATTGTTTTCAAATACTTAACAATCATTTAAACTTGAATTCAAATAGAGCAATTTTTACAATGCATAATAAATATGCAAATTTATGGAATACAAAAATTTTGTATTCGATCTAAGGAGGAACTAACACTAATTATAGTGAAGATAGAGTAACCTGTAAAAGTGTTGTTTATATTGATATCGCTATTTATATGTAATGAGAATAACCGTTTTATAACTATTGAACATTTGGTACATTTATAATTTTACATCTGAAAAATGTAGTATTGGTTTTAAAAAAGTTATAACTTCGAATTAACCGCAAGTTAGAATTCTATAGTTAACGACTTGATAAAAACGTTTTTTTCTAAGAATGATTAGAAAGTCAACGTTTCGTTAATATCTTAATAGATATACCTAATCTATTATTGATACATGTTGTTTCGGAAATTTCGTGATTAAACTTATCTTCAGTTTATCATAAATCACTTATTATACTTGGAAATTCTTTTTGTCAAATTGTTAACTAGAGAATTTCATATTNTTGAATATTTTGATACTCTAGTCGAATAAATCAATAAAATAAGTAAAAAAATATATATTAACTTATATACTTTATAACTTATTCACTAACTATACTCGAAAATCACTTAAGCATTGATTACAATTAATGAATTATATTTTTAGAGAAGAAATCAGTTTGTATACTTTCGCTCCAATCGATGAATCGAAAAAATTAGAAAACAACTCAGAGTGTATAAGCAATTTAAAAGTTATCCTAGCTGTAGGGGAACGCGATTCCCCTATCTTTGTCGAGGAATCAAAACGATATGCACGAGTGAGTAACGTTTTTCTTGTTTTTCATCTTTTAAACGCAAATTACATAAAAAAGTGAAAAAAAGCATTTTTTTTATTATTTACAGAGACTAATACAATTTGTAGATAATATCAAATTCTTACTGCTGAGGAACCATATCGACCACTTTGACATAGTAGAAAATCTTACAACAAATGACTTATTACTATCGAAAATCCTTATACACAACGTAAAAAACATTAAATGAGTAACATAAATCATGAGAAACTAAGGGAATTTATTAAAATTTTGTGCCCAAGTTAACATTTGTAATAAATAATGTACTTTATAGCTACAAAACATTTTAATTAAAAAAAATTTTCGATGTATTTGCCGGGGAGCACTGATAGGTACTACTTGTTTCTGGTATAGCTTCCTTGGCGTAAGACTAGTTTAACTTTCATGATAGGCTGAAGTTCGTTTTTGAAACTAATTAAGTATGATTATTTAATGTTTCCAACGTTTGCAATGAAAATAATTTGCAGAAAATGGGGGAAATATTAAGAAAAAAACTTCTTATTTAATTTTAAAGCTTATTACAAGCAAGACACGAAAATGTTCCATCTTTTTTTTTCGAACGATTTACATATTTACATGATAACTTACAGAACCTGACGTTCAACTTTTTTTTATAGTCAAAACTTTTGACTAATAGACAATTGCGTAATCAGTAGTTGTAAAAGAGTTCTTCCTTCTCCCCAGAAAGAATCTCAATCAAAAACCAAAAAGTTAATCTTTAACAGCTGCCTTGTAAAACGTTGACCGCAAAAAAAGATAGACATTGATAAAAGATTTATCGATTATTAAATTTTTTTTTTCATACAGCCATTCTGTTGATATTTAGCTCAGCACAAGTGGCGAGCTTCAAGGCACGGATGTCTGTAAAGGTAAATAATCTTAAATCGTGCCCCGTACATATGTATCTGGCTTGGAGGTCATAGTGCTGGTGCCTATCTCGCAGCAAGTTTGCTGCACGACCACAAATGGCGAGCTTCAAAGCACAGTTGTCTAGAGCTGCTTAAGGGTCTTGTACTCATTGGCGGAATTTACGATTTGAAACCGGTGCTTTCTTTAAGTGTCAACGAGGCCGTTAAGCTCACTCCGTAAGTTTATTGCTGCTGCTTTTTCTTTGAATTTTTTTTTTGTATTTCTTCACAACATACAGTTATTCATGACAAGATTCTTTAAAACTTTATCAGAAGTTTTTTTTTTCCACACTTTCTTCGCTTTTTATCAGTTACTTTCATTGCAAACGTTGGAAATATTTTACACATTTAATATTATAATAATACTCAATTGATTCAAAAAATGACGTCCACGTTATAATGGAGCTAAAACTAGTCTCACGTCAAAGTAGCTTTACCAGGGACAAATATCACCCAATGCCCCCCCCCCCCTTTTCTTTTATAAAAT